GATCTGGCCAGAATTAGTGAGTACTCTCCCTGTTGTGCTGGACGGCCGATGCCACCGCCGGCGTCCAGTACTTGTTCGTGTTTAGCCCAAGTTTGCCACAGTCTCCACGTTCTAGGCGCTGAAGCGAAAGACCGTAGCTAATCGATTCCGCTGGATATCGGCAGGCACTCATTGGGGCCTCAAGAACTCAAAGATCCCAGACGCTGGCGAAGGGTACGGCAAGAAGACGAACAAGGACCCTGACTTCATCAGCTTTGTCGATCTCATGCTGTACCCGCAACCCCAAACCTTCATAGAAGTTTCCGAAAATTAGGGATGCTAGGATACCTCATTCCGGGATCCTTGTAACAGGGATCTATTCAGGGTACTATATTAGGGCCCCCTGATTTCACAAACTCCCTTATAGGCCCGAGGCAATTCTCCCAAAAGCGCATTTCTGCAGGATGAAGAGGGGTACCTTATTTTGGGGTCCTTATATAATAGGGGTCCTACTATTCAGGGTACCCTGTCCCTTAGAGTCCTCTCCCTTTCTGCAGGATGAGGATGTGGCGCAGAACTTCAAGTCCGGTCAGCTCTTCGGTGTGGCCGAATACATCAACGCGCGTGGGGAGGCTGCCGTGGGACAGGGGATCTTCGAAGCTTTCTTCGGGCTTCCGAGCCTTCTTGGAGGTTCATGGGTAGATATAAGTGGGGTTACAAGGCCCCTAGTTATGGGTTATCAATGCGGTTGCCCTACTTATAACTTATAACCCCACTTACTACAACTACCCATGAACCTCCAAGTTTGAGGTTTTAGGAGCTTTAACCCCCAAAGGGTCCAAGTAACCGTATAGTATATACTTTAGGGTACTGTAAGTACCTACTATTGTGGTACTTGGACCATCTTGGACCCTTTGGGACTATTGGAGGACCAGGGAGATCCGGCTTCAATCATGAAGCGGCTGCACGGGTCTGGAGGGCGTAAGTTCAGTGTTGTCGTACAACCGCTCTAACTTATATGGTGACATAAAGAAGGAGAAGAGGGAGCGTTTGTGTTTGTGAGTGCATGGCTCGTGAAGATTAAGAAAAAGGTTTTCGCACACTGCCAGGCAGTTCGCAAACACTAGTGCTGCGACCTGGCCAGATAGAGACCACCTTGTGCATGGTCATCACTGCTTACTGATGATTGAGGGTTGAACTATGATGTGCTGTCTAAGCCGGTAGTACTAGGTGTCTGGCAAAGCACAGCATCTCATTGAGACCGGCATGCGAAAAGCGGTGCTAGTGGTCAGAGAACCGAAAGCCTTGCAAACCGTGAATGCGAATCAGGAAGACAGGAATCCTTTCTTTAGATTAGACATCCCGATACAAACCCTACCTCAAGCCTCCGTATGTAAGCATAGCGAGTGCAGATGCCAGATTTCATGGTTACCAGCGTTGTCGATCTGCTCAGGATGTATATCACAGCACGAAGCGCGAGCCACTGGCCAAGGCGCGTCCCGAACTACCCATAGGTTCCATAGTAGTTCCTTTCTGGGATTACCTTATAGGATTCTGAAAATGACCCCCAAATGGAACTACTATTGAGCCTGTGGGTACCCTGGTGAAATTCATCTGACTTCTGAGTCGAACAATGGGTGGATGGTTTGCCGTATTCTGCAGCCTGAGCGCCAGCAGCCGGCTCGTAGTTTGTTTGTAGTCGTGGTCGCTGCTGCAGTCGTGGCCGCAGTCGCAGCAGGAGTAGAAGTAGTGGCGGCAAGAGGCGAAGTTGTCGTGGTCGGTGTAGGAGCAGCAGCAGCGGTAGCAGCAGAAATGCAGTAGCGGTCGGCGATCGTTTGATGCTTGTGCAGACATTCTCAGAATTCCACAGTAGTTCACTCTGTCGCAGGCCTTCCAGCGAGGTCACGTCTTCCCGGATGAAGTCCATGATCCGGACTCGCTGGCTGTGCCGCGATAATGTGGGAATCAGGGTTCTATGAGAGTAATTACAGTAATGCTATTAAGTGGTGTACGCTTGCATAGCTTTGCCAGACAGGCTTTTGCTCCGCTTAGCAGGCAGATACAAGGTGATGCAATGGCAGTGTACACGAATTACTGCTCCGCCCTAAACCCTCAACCCTAAACCCTAAACCCAAACCCTAAACCCTAAACCCTAACATGAGCATGGCAATCTCTTACATCACTGAGTTGAAATCTCCAAGACTTCCACTTCCCGTCAGTAGGGCTCAGCGAGTTAAGTTTCCGATGCCGCAGACCCGGCCGCCGGCTCATGCTGCATAATGGATCATGAAGCCTAAACCCCTAAACCCGAAAGCCCCTAAACCCGGAACCCCGAGGGCCCAAGAAGTTTAAACCGCGAGCTGCTGACACACCCCGGGTACATGGTTTGCACGTGGTGAAGGCTGGGTAGGATCCAACCCTAAACTCATGTCAGATAGGCCAGTCAGAGTGGAGTGATGAAGCTTCGCTTGGGAATAATCTGGAATTTAGAGATTGGTTGAGGGCTAGACTGCTCCACTGGCCGCTCCTAAACCCCAAACACCTAAACCGCAAACCAGAAAAATACACCCAAAATCCAACCCAAACCAAAAAGCCCTCAACCACAAACCCAAGACTCAGTGCGACCCAGTCAGCTCAGCATGTGAGAAAGATCATTACCCACAGGCTCCAAGGTAGTTCCTTTTGGGGGTTAATATTTAGAATCCTATCAGGTAGTCCGAAAAAGGAATTACTATGGAGCCTATATATGAACGCCGAAAAGGAACTACTATGGAGCCTGTGGGATTTCACTTCTTTCCAGGACTTCAAAGGCTTTGGCCGCCCCCTGGACTCGACGCCTCCTGGTCTAGCATTTCATGGTACCATAGGGGGCCTAAAAAATTAGGTCCTAGGGTTCATTTTAAGGGGACTATACGGGCTACTATAAGGGGTCTATAGGGGTACTATAGGGGCTTGAAGAATTACCGATACTATTTTTGGCGGTTCCTTATTCCATTCTACTATAATGGGCCCCAAAACCCTGTTCTAATTATTAAGGCCCCTATAACATTTGCCCGCCTCCCGCCCTCTCTGGCTTCCATAGATAGGTGCTTCATGTCTTTAGGGCTTGGGGGTGTAGGGAACAAAAGGTCACCCCCGACTCGGCTTAGTCTTTAGGGCCAGGGTTTAGGGCTATAATTGAAGGTACCCTAAACCCTATAGATCCCTTAAAGGAGCCCTGGGCATAGCTTCGGCACCACAGCATGGATCCCACGATCTTGGCTGGTTCTCAGGATGCCAGCGAAAGAAGTGATGTTTCCTCGCGATCGGCAACCGGCCGCTCAGCAGCCTTATGTTTAGGGTTCAGGGGTTTGGGGTTTAGGGTTCAGGGTTAGTCTTAGCCTAGTCAAGGCTTGGTTCCTGAAACCCCGGGCGCATCGAGCTGCAGTGCCTCCAAGCCACGAAAGACCTTTCTAATACGCTAATACACACGTGCTGCACATCCCACCCGATCCTGACCCTTCAATCCCTGTCCCGGCCTCAACTCCGAGACGTCCTAGCATCCGAACTCGGAACCTCGACCCAAACAAATCCAAAGCTCTATCAACCCCAATCTTTAAGATTCGTCCTGAATACCACAACCCCGAAGTCTTCAGCCGTTACATCCTCGTCCCAACACTCTGAAGCCTGAAACTCCTACCTACATCCGAAGGCTCCAGCCATACCGAGCCCTTATAAAACCCCAGATGACCCTCATCGAAGCTTACAATCCCCCCCCCCCCAAAAAAAAAAGAAGCACCAAAAAGCACGATTTCCCTGCAGCTTGTACCAAGCCCTCCGAAGGACACGCAGGAGGTGAAGGAACTTTACAAGCGAACCCACGGCAGCACTGACCCTGGGGAAGGCTGGAGAATTATTCGGTTTATGGTTATTTTTGTGAATGTATTATATGTATAATTACATCTTTGTGTTAACATATATGTATTTGTATATGTGTACACATATAGGTGCTGCGGGTTTAGGGCACTGGCTGCTGAGAAATGTGCGGAGAGGGTTTTCGAGTTGTCAGCCCGGTCTTGACGCACCGTCTTGACGCACCCCATCTCTTCAGAAGGTTCCCCGTCCTAAACCCTGAACCCCTACAGTAAACCCCAGAAAGTTGGAAACCGGATTAAGGCCAAATAGTGCTTGGATCCCCTATACATTGCTCCTAAGGATTGAGGCTATTGGGTTTCCAACTTTTAGGCTTCTACTGTAAACCCTAAACCCTAAACCCTAAATAGTACCCTTATACCCTTATAGTAGCCCTTTAAAGGAACCCTAAGGTACCCTAAACCCTAAACCCAACTACCTGAAACCCTAAGGCTGCTCGAGCCCGAGACCCCAAACCCAAAGCGCTCTTGAGCCCGAACCCCTGAACCCAATCACCCAGTAAGCCTTACAGCTGTAAGCCTTGTAAAGTATAGCATAATGTACCCCAAAACCCTACTCTAATTATTAAGGCCCCTGTACGTGTGATCTTAGACCCAAATAATGATGTAAACCAGACCTTAGGAGTTAAACGACCCCCAGAACGACCCTCCACGGGCCTTGGTCCTTTTTTCTTCAGCCAAAACAGCCTCGCGGTCGGGCTCTTCGAGTGGTTCCTGTGCGGGAGCAGGCTCGGAACACACGCACTCCCCCTTCGCCACATCTCCAAGATATGGCGAACAGGATCGTATGCCAGGAAAACAAGACTGTATAGTAGGTAGAACATCCGAGCCCGGCTCATCTGTTTCACACTCGTCCGCCCATTCAGGGACAAAAACTGGTTGATTCATGTCCTATTCCGATCTCACTTCCGTGAGTCCTCTTCGAGGATAATCGTTGCCGGACATCCAGCATCCCTTTCATATCGTTAGCGAAGGAAAACGGAACTGCAGGTTCATACAACGCTACTGGTTGTTCTAAAAACTGGTTTAGACCAGAGAACCTAAAGTTCTTCTTCCTTCGGCTCAAAGCCCTTTTTCTTGGCTTTTCTGGACCTTTCATTCCGGTTGATCTTACTCGAGACGGCCTTGGTCTCCTGAGGACGATTCAGAAAGGACCCCATCGGAAGAAGACTGCGGGGACACTAATCCTTCCTCATTCCTACACAACCAACCCCCAACTAATGTCTCAAACTCCCTCTGAATCCTTTCCGAATAATGCTCAGCTTGGATCACATATCCAGCACGCCAGAAGGAGTACAGAATGCGTGCCCGGGAAGGTATGCCCTCTGCAAGAGGCATCGGAACTACATTCAGCTCCGAAGTTTGCGTACCGGCATCAGCTCGTTGGTGTGCCCTCTTGAAACACTTAAAGGCCAGAGACTTGCTGAGTTCCCAGATGCCAACACTCGCAGCGCTCACAAACAGCGTCCATAGACTAGACCCATCGCAAGCACTACTCCCACAGCTTAAGGCAACATCATCCCTTGCATCAGAGCGGGCCTGGGCCTGACTATCCCGGGGTTCCAAAAGGTCAACAGCACACTCCTCCACCTTGGTAGCCCCAACGCCCTGAATGCCCCTCAAAACAATCCATGAAATCAGACAGAGAGTAACTACAACCCGCAGCCAGCTCCCTATCCAACCCTGTCCCGGGGCTGGTTCAGCTGCCTCAAGCTGATCGGGCTCAGCGGGAGCATCTACATCAACACTAGGTACCGCTTCCCCTAAACCCTGTACGGCAGCCTCGAGCCCTGACCAATCCCCAACGTCTAGACCAGTCACAATACCTTGCACCGCGGACTGCGACCAGCCAGGAAGAGGGACCTCAAGCTCATCATCCCCGTAGAACACAAGCAACTTTCCTTCTGCCGCCTGGTACGAAGTCCTAGGCAAACCCCCAACCCTCGACCCTTCTAAGGGGGTGCCCTCTTCCACAGGCTGACACTCTTCAGATTGCTCAGAACTGGAGTCAGCACTCACACCGACTACCGACGGCTCCGTCGTTGAGCTTCCCGAGCCTTCGGATTCCGAGGAGGAGTCCTCCAACACAGCCTGCCCTACTGGACCCCAACGAACCCTACCCGGATCCTCAGTCCTAGGTCTTAACGGCCTATCGTCAACACTCTCATCATCCTCGTGCCCAGAGCTCAACTGTTCCGCCTCCTCGGGAGCCCTTGCAACGAACGGATACTGAAGCTCCCTACCTTGCATATATGCATCTGCAGCATCGTAGGTAGCCTGTGCGCTCGCCATGTAAAAATGGCGCGTCTTGCGGAGCCACACGGTCAAAGCCAAAGTGGCTCCTGCTCGAAAGCCTGGGGCAACCGCACGAAGGGCTCTCCAAGCCCCTGTTCGATCACCCAACAGCTCTAAAAGTAACCAACCTTCTTCCATCAGCAACCGCCACAGGAAATGCGCAATCATACCCGGGGGACCCTCAACATAAGGAAACACGACCCCCCTAGCTACCAATCCTATGGGGCCTGCTGGCCGCCTTCTAGAAGTTGAGCTCATAATTAATGGTGGTTCCGTGAGAATGAACTCCTCAGTAGCCATCACCCACTGGGGACCATTGTACAAGAGAGATTGGGGACCGCGTCTCAAAACTTCCACTACGGCAAACACTAACGCGTACCTCAATCCCGCCGATGCACAACGAAGAGATCTCCACTCTCCCGCTCTCTCACCAACTGTCCAGAGGATAGTCTCTCCAGTTTGCGACAACAGTTGAACTAAGTAATGCGTCACCAACCAAGATCCTACATACGGAAACTGATCTGTAAGCATCCCATCACCACAATAATCCTCATAACACAACTCATCGCTGGGGGCTACTGTCATCCCGTGACTTCCGGAACTGCCACCATGCTGCACGTTGGGGGTAGGAGCAGGCCCTTGACTACCAGAACTACCTCCTACCTGAACCCTGGGTCTCGGCACCTCAAACTGGTCCTGACTACTTGCACTCCCCCCAACCTGAACATCCGTCCCTGCAACTGGGCCTTCCTGAAGACTAGAACCCTGAACCAAATCCCGCTCAACCCTCCGAAAACTTGGCGATCTAGACTGCTCTTCTGCTGGACGGAAAGGCACTTCACTGGCACCCAGAGGACTCGGCGATCTAGACTGCTCTTCTGACGAACTGGACAGCACTTCACTGGCACCCAGAGGACTCGGCGATCTAGACTGCTCTTCTGATGAACTGGACAGCACTTCACCGGTACCAAGAGGACTTGGGCACCCATCACGTCCTGCGGACATGTCGCACGGCCCTTCAGAACTCCGTCCCGGCTCCTGCTGGATCCCAAACGGCTGCGGGGAAGGAACAGATGGTTCTCCTACATTCGAAGACGCTGACCTTCCTTCGCCAGCTCCCGTCCCGCCCTCTCTTGTCAGTCTCCCAGGCACACGGGAAGCTAAAGTCACAGCAGCCAAACTCCGAAGTCTCCTACAAACCATCCTCAAACATCCCCACTCTTTCTGCGGAACTCCAATCATCCCTAGAAGAGTTACTCCGAACCTAAGCAAAAAGGCTACCAACCCTGAGCCCCTTTCTGGCACTTCAGTCCAAACCCCACTGCTTCCAGAGCGCCCTGTAAGCCAGTACGGTAATGGTCCGTGTCGCTGCTGAAACACCGGAGGATCTACCAAGTCACCTTTAGCCAGTTGCTTCCTCAACCTAGCCCTCTGCACAAATGTAAGCCCCGTAGAACGCTCAGCAGCAATCAACTTGGCTTCAGCTGAAGCCCATTCTTCAGGACTGAAATCGTCATCAAGATTATCTGGGTTCCCAGCCCCCTCAGCAACAACAATCGCAGTCTCTAGCGGCTCCTCCGAAGGCACAAAGCCGCGAAACCAGGTCCCAACCAAAACGCAACCCACCGTGACCAACGTGGCTACTACCCAATAAACCCAATCGGAAACCAACCGGGAGTGATCACCCATGGGTTGCCCACGAGCACCAGGTAACATACACAACAGGGCCAAACCCGCAATGGCTTCCGGGGAAATTCCCCTGAGTTGACCCGTTACATACGAACGGCTTAGAACCCGAGCTGCTTTCATCATTTCTGGTGAGGCGGGCTGGTCTCGCACATTGATGAGGTCCATCAGATATAGCAACCTTGATCGAGCCAGCGGCTTCGTACCAATGTCCGCCGCCTGGTGCAGGCCTGCAAGATGATTGACACGCAAAACATTATTCTCGATGCGCTCTCTGCCAGCCTGCGCCCTCATCCTTAAGTGGCGGTTACGCCAGCCAGCTGGCGCCATTTCGAAGGATCGTATAGCTGCGGCGTTATCGGCAAGAAGTGAGAGAACGCTGTCATCCGAAAGAAGCTCCTCCACTAACGGTTGGATACATTCGCCCAACTGAACAGAATGAATCATGCTCACGAGCTCCGCCTCTGCGGAGCTAAGGGTTGTGAACCCTTGCCTGGCGCTCTCCCACGCCAGTGGCGAACCACGCCATACGATAATGCAACACTGCACTGATCGTCCACCGCACGGCGAGTGAGAAGCATCCGAGTACACCTCCACGACGTTGTTCTGCCGAGGTAATGCCAACTGACCGTGATCTGAAAAATACGATCCCACTTTATGCAAATACTCGATCCCAAAAGTCAAGGTAGAGCCAAGGTACTGCAACACTTGCCTGCCAATGGAAATACTCAACTCTGGATCCTTCGTCGCTTGTTGTCCCATCCGCGAAACAGCGTAAGCAATATCAGGCCTTGTTCTGGTACTAATCCACAAGAGCGCTCCTGTAATGCCCTGCGCTTCTCGAATCAAGCTGGCATCCGGAACACCTTGCTCTGGAGGCTCAGTCCACTTCGTTATAGGCGATGCCGCCGTACCCTCAATATTGTATCTATTCAGTAGCTCCTTCAGATAGGACACCTGAGTCAACCGATAACCTCGGGCCGACCGGGTCACCTCAGCACCACAGAAAGTCACCGGCTCTTCACCGAACCAACTGGGAGGAGAGGTTTTCCACTTCTTCTGCACCTGGTCGATGAAGCATTGGCAGAGATTCGCAGCGGCAAAGAAGGCCAAGTCATCAACATACACAACCAACAATCCCGCTATCGGTCCCTTGCCCTGCTCCCCCACAGGCTGAACCAGCCACAAGGATTCATCGGACTTCGATTGAAACAACCCATAGGCAACCCCTTCACAACTGATAGTAAGCGCCCTAAACTCCTTATCCCGGTAGTCTCCCCAGTCTCGGGGCGACGTTGGCAAGCCATACAACGCCTTGCGCACGTGCCATCGGTCACTGGCCTCAAGCACTCCAAGCTCTACCAACAATGCCGGAGGTTTCACAATGATGCGCTCTTCCTGATCCTTAGATCGCGTACCTATAGGAGCATACAGAAATGCTGACTTAATGTCTATCGTAATCCCAGTCCAGGTTGAATAGATAGACGCGAAACACAGGGCCACTCGCAAAGTCACTGCCTCAACCCCCGAAGCGTACACATCATCCTTGGACAGACCCAGCTTCTCTGGGGGGAGGTAGTTTCCACAACACACAGCCCGAAAACGGCGTTTTCCTGTTCCGCTCTTTCTCGTGAGAACTGCTTTACCAGGCAACTGAATCACAGTATACCCCTGCTCAATCCACTGATCCACTAACGCCGCTTTAACCCTATCCACAGCTTGATTCGTAGTCTCCAAGCTCGTCACTTCCTCTAAGGCAGGTTCCTTCCACAATCCTAGCTCCGATCTTGCTTCTACAAGACCAACCGTACGAGTTTGCAGGAACCTATCAGGAACAGACTCACCCGCCAATGGCACCTCTACTTGAAGAGCCCTCAATGATACCTCAGAATTCAAGGTCCACTCATCAAGACAGCCCTCCAACCATTCGCATAGAACCTCGGTAGAACGTAGCTGCTCAGCGGTCTCCTCCAACCCTTGAGGTTCATGTAGGTTCTCGCATAAATCCCCCGCTAGAAGCCGACAAAGTCTGGACACACACCCATGCCAATGGACCCAAGCCTCCCGCCCGGCTTCATCCTCAATCGGCTGTGGAATCCCAACTTCCCAATCCGCTTCCTCAAGGTCTTCTAAACCGGAACCCATACACACCTTAGCAGCTCCCTCCCCCGGTCCTGGTTCTGCGCAAACATCCGCACCATCACCCCAAACCTTATCCACTGGAAAACCCAGCTCTCTCAGCTCCTCTCTATGCTCGGCCGTCGCCTTACCGAAGTCCCTGGGAGTAAAGGCAGAAATAACCCAACGAGAAGTACCAGTCCACTTTTCTGAAACATGCCACCGTTCCCCATCAAACAGGGCTGGTTCCTGATGGACATCGTGTATCTTCCCACCTCGGGCTCTTCCATCTGGCAGCACCCGATAAACCGGTCCACAGCCCTTTTCCCCTTCAATCCACAATCCTCCTCCCACAAACTCGCCCAAGGCCCTCACCCAGACTTTAGACCCCTTAGCATTCCTTGTGTCCTTATGCAAAGGCGTGCTCGTGTCTTTAGAGATGTACAAAGACGACCATTCATGCTCAGGACTCCTTGACCTTACAAAACCATTCAGGTACTTGACCAGTTCTCCACAGTCTCTAGTGGCCTTAGACACACCACGGAATCCACCAACCCCATAGAGACCCAGCAAAACAGCCCTTCCTTCATGTCTAATCATAGGTCTACTAGCAATTGGAATCCCTTGCAGGCCTTCTTCCAGAACCCTTAAACAAGTTGCATCGGAGAAGTCCAAAGAGGCCAGAGCATCTTTAATCCACGTGGGGACCCCATCCTCTGATGTACCCAGACAGCCCGGCTCCCCCGGATCCGCAAACCCATCCACAGAGGCCAAGAAGATCCCGCACCCGGCAGGCTCAACTTCGACTAGGCTACTTTCCTGATTCGATCCAACAGACCCCTGGCCCATAACCCAATTCTCCGTGGAACAATCCTCAGAATCCGAGAACGACGAAAAATCCTCCAAATCAGAGAAAGACTCCCCCCCAGGCGTACGCCTGGCCCGACGTGCTGGAGCAAAAGAGTGCACCTTCCTCGCTGCTACGACCCGTACGGCAAAACTCGGGGAGCGCGGGGAAGACTTATCCTTAAGCCGGTACTTAGGCTTGACGATTTCCCCTTTATCCCCATGAATTGGGTACACAGTATTGGTCAACAACACCTTTCTAGCATCGCCTTCGCCTACCAGTACCAGATGACCACCAGGAGTATTCGGAGCACAACCTAGGTATACCCCTTCTGCTACACGCGGCTCCCATTGCGCATTGAATCCGGTACGCACCCTTCGGCGCGCCAAAATCCGAAGGCCAAAAGGGAGCAAAACGGGTTGCGGGATCCCTAGTCGCTCGTTAAACTGAATCCAGTAGCGCGCAGACGCATGCAACACCGCTATCGGCCAAAATCTCTTATCTAAACCCGACACAAAGAGTAGCTTACGAACCGCCCCCTTAAGGTTTTGAACTGCGAGTTCGGCCCTGTTGCCCGCCGGGCACTCACCGGCTGTAAACGTTGTATAAATTCCTTGATGCTTCAACCAACTGAGCAGGGCTGCCGATTTCAGCTCCTGTGCACGATCACAATGGTATCTCTGAACCGGAAACCCAGACGCCTCCAGCCGATTGATCATAGCTTGTACATTGGGAAGAATCTCTTTAGCGTGCTTCGATCGCACCGGTACACCCATAAACAAAGTGTAATGCTTAACGCTGCTCTCCCTCTCCGGCTCACGCGGAACGTCCTCTGCTTCTGGATGCTTACCCCGGACTCGATGCGTTACCGCCTTAAGCTCCGCCTGCGAAGGTTCTGGCAGATTCCATAGCTCATCCAACAAAGCAGAATCGTCTTTCGGGCCCTCCTGCGCCACCAACTCAGGCTGGTCATCGTCCGATAGCTCGCCCTCAAGAACGCTACCAATACCACCCTCTGGCGAATCCTTGGCCCTGGTGTCAGAGAAATTCGCTGGCACCGCATAGGTTCCGACAAGCATATACTTGTACCCCCCGCCCTTATCGCGACCACTCGCTTCCTCACTGTAGGACACACCATCAATAAAGGGACCTGCAAGGTCCACACTTAAGGAGTGTAGGCCTGGAAACGAGCTACGCCAATGGGGTCTCTGGCGCCCTTGCGCACTAACACAAACCGGACACCCCTTACGGTACGGAACATGATCTTGTGCTACATGCCTAGCATAGGACTCCTGTTCCGTTAGCTTAGCAAGCAACACCCTTCGTTCCTGAATCAACTCAGCCTGCTCACGTTCCTGACGCCAACCCTGCCAAGCAGCCTGGATTAGCTTAAGCAAACCGGTTGGCCAGCTCCTAGACACCTGATCCCCTACCAAGCCCTTTAGGTCCCTCAGGCCAGAAAGGAAATCCCGTAACTCATCATTAGCCCTTACCCTATGCAAGCTTTCAAACAGATACCACGAGGAGGTCAAGAACGAAGTGGGGGCGACTTCCAGCTTACCAAAGCAGCCTTGATCGAACTCCAAGTTACTGAGATGATACAACTTCTGAAAAATCTCAATCTCCTTATGAGCCAGATCTGCCCACTCCCCCGGATCTTGTCCCCCTTTCCGTTCGTACACCAGAAAAACTGATGCTCCGTTCCCAGGAAGAAGTGACTCGGTAGCTTCCCCACTGGAGCCTGCTAGCTTAGCCGCTGCCTTTCTCAACGCCCAAGTTGCCAAATCCTGGGGTTCGTGGAAATCAGTACTATCCACAACACCCTGTTGCAGTTCATCGGCACACAACGCAGAAAAAACTTGGCTCTTAGCTTCCATGGCCGCCTGGGCCACCGCGAACACCAGCATCACCCGGAGCTCCGCTACGACTCGATCCCGAAGCGATCCTGAACCCCGACATCCTTGAAGGACCCCTTGCCACCCTTCTGTAGCGGCTGATCCCGAATGCGCAGTTCCCTGAAAAGCCTCTAGGCCTCCTCGAATCACTCCTCCAACTACTCCCGATTCAGCCCACTTTAGCAGCTGCCCAAAACCCGAAGTAGACAAAAGGTCTTTATCAGAACCCCTTAGATTCACCACGCATCCTAAGCCCTTCCACCCGGAACATCCCGACGAGAAGTTCAGCAGCACCGACCCTGGTTTTGCTCTCATCACCGAACGTCTCATTCGCCTGTTCCAAGGCAGAGTGCCCGGATCTACAGAACTCTCTCCTACCGGAGGAACACATACTTCTCGGAGTAGGTCCGTAGGAACCCCTGAAAACAGACCCGCTAGAAAGGTAAGCTGATCAACCTCGCTTAACCCGAGAACCCCAACGTTAGCTACCCTTCTCGCCAGCCAACCTCGAGATTCCTCCAGGCGGAGTTCACAGCTCGGTCCTACCGCATCTAGGGTCTTCACCTTGACTCCTACCCCTTTACGCCTTTCGTACTCCTCCAAAAGCCCTAGCCCTACTTCCTTAGGTACCAGAGGGCAACCCTTTACCACAGAAACTTCCAAGACCCCGCGCACAGGATGCCTTATCCTACAACCTCTCTTTTTCCAAGCAATGGTGCAACCTAGCTCTATCAGATAACCCGCAGGGATTATAACCTGACAAGGTCCAGCATGAAGGAGGGTACCGCATGAGTTGATCCGAAGCTCAGCCACTCCACTAGCCAAGTCTACGTTAATCGACCTCCCCTGTTCCAGTTCCCACAACTCTGCTGGCCTCAACGCATTAGTAGCACCACTGTCAACCAGTGCAAAACCGGCATCCGACGGCCCTGAAATCGCACTCAACAACCAGGCACCATCAACCTTCAAGTCCTCGTCACCTCTTCCTGTATCCACAACCTTAAGAACCTTCAATGTCACATTCTTAAGTAGCTTCGCCGCTTCGGCGATAAGGTTCTCTTGACTGGCTACAGCACTGGCACTCGACGACACAGGCAAATTTCCCTCGGATCCTCCGCCGCCTGACCCAGGATCCTCAACTATCCCCTTCGCCTGAGCCTGGGAACCTGCCTTCCCCTTAGCCTTCGGCCTACCCTTAGGAGAACCTGACTTAGGCTGGGCTTCCGTGGGGGACCCTGGATCAGACAAGGTTTGCCTATGCTCTTCCGGAACCAAAGGACACTCAGGTCGGAAATGCCCTGCCTGGCCACAAGCCAGGCAACGTGACTCGCGACGGGCCTTTGCCCGGTCGTGCTTGAAATGACAGCTATCCCCATAACGGCACCCTGAAGCATCCGTAAACTTGTGGCAAAGCTGAAGAGTCCCATCCCCAGACTTACCCTTACCTTTACCCTTATCTTTCCCAGCACCCTTACCCCCTGCCGCGTCTACACCTACTGCCGCTACAGAAGGGTTAGAAGGAGGAATTGGTGGGAGAGTAGGGGGCGACTTAGCCGGTGGAGAATCCTTATTGGCATTCACCGCCGCTGTACGTGCTCTCTTATCACCCGCCGCTGACGACTCTACCAAGGAAATTGCTTCACTTTCCGCCTGCAACAATCTCACCAGTTGGGTTACACCCGAAACCGTAGGGTTAAAATCCAAGGCTATCCCATGCCGATAGGCGCTAACCCTGAACCCTACCATAGGATTTCCGCTCAAGAGACTCGAGGTGGAGTTATCAATTCCCTTTAGCAGGAGCGAGGCGTCAGGAAGAGTCGCGTGTATTTCCCCTGCGCGTAACAGACACTGCTGCCATTTCCTTAAGATACGCACTGCATCCGGAAAAGTACGACACAGGTCGGGGGTGACCAACTGTCCTAACAGGTGGGCGCGTTCATTACTACCGCCAGGTTGATAAGTACATAAGATTCGAAACAAGATGGCAGCCGACGAAAGCCACCTGTTCACTACGATGTCCTCCTTTAGCCCCGCAGGAACGGCCGCCAACAGAAGAGACACCGCCCTACTTTCGATTCGCTGATACTTTACCACGTCGTAACTCGCAACTACGCTAGCCGGGTCGATCGCTAACCTTCCTAGTGGATCTGCAACCAACCACCGACTATAACCCGTGTTAGCCGCCCGCTCGACTGCCGAAAACCAAACCCCAGCAGACGGAGATAAACCTTGGAACACCTGTCTGACCTGGGCAATCCAGTTACCACAGACTATCGCGCTGCTCGACAAATCAGCTTGCACTAACTTAGGGAGTTCCGAAATATACTTAGCCGGCTCCTCGGGCCTTTCTGAGGAAACTGAACCTTGAACCCCAACATTCCCTTGCTCCAACCCTCGCGGAGTCCCTGATAGGCCCTCTTGAGTCCCATACCCTAAGTTCCCTGAACCCGAGCCTAGGTCCCCAGTGATCCCCAATCCAGGCGCACTCCGAGGTGAAACCGGCGGCGGCCCTGCTGGAGGCTTGATGCTGGTCCCTCCCGGCGAGACCGGATAGCCCTCAGAATCGAACTTAACACCCAGACCCGACCTAGGAGTATGAAACCCCGCAAGTCCGGAATCTCCAGCACCAAGCCCTGCAGTTAAAGCTGCACTCGCAAACTCTCTCAAACTCTGAGGCGTAGCTGCACTTTCAGCAATAGCACGGACATGTGGAGACGGGGGGGGCCTAGGTCTTACTGCCTCAGCATAGTCCCAGGTATTAGGCCAAAGCTGAAAGCCCACTGGATCCCCAAACCCCGGAGGCCTAGGTTCCAAAGAGCCTGGAACAAAACCGTACTTAGCCATAGGATGCATAAGGTGGGGCCTGGCTCCCACAAGAGAGTGTTGCTGCCCCACGGCTGTGCTTGGTCCATACTCACCTGCTGGCAATCTCCCCAAAGCACCTGGGAACTCTCGCACTTCGTACGTATCAAGCGGCTGTACACCTACGACCGGGCCCGGAGGGGCCTCAGGAAAGTGTCTACTCAGACCAAAAGAGGCCGGAGACATAGGCGCCTCTTGAGGTGTCCTCGCACTATGCCAAGAGGAATGGGATTCCGACTGCAGTTGGCGCTTCAAGTTCTTGTTCTCCTCAATCACCTGACCCAACAGCAATTCCATTCTCGCCAAGCGGTCCGGCTCAGCCGGTATCAGCTCTGGATAATCCTCACCGCCACCCTCGGTGGCAGCTGCCATATCCTGACTGTTCGGCCCTGAACCTTGAGTCGTCTTCAGATCCAGTCCAACGGCATCCTCCCTTCCGCTCTTCTGAGCCGGCTCCGTAGGATCCACAGCCAGTCCTCGTCGCTCACCCAAACCCGGAGATGAGCCCGTCGTCGGCTCGATCCGAGCAACACGGGGAGCGCTCATTGCGGAACTTCCTGGTCCAGAAGCCCCCATGAAAGCCTTCCCATAGTCAGGCTCCTTCGGGTCTCCAACCTCCTCACCGGTGGATGGAAACCATTCCTTGTCCGCGGCCACCTCGGAGAAACCCATCTCGGCGTTCACCCGAGCCTGGTCTTCGTCCAGAGTGCTAGGTCGCTGCCTCATGAGCGCAATCTCCTCTCGCGCCTTCTCACTGTAGAACGGGTGAGCTGTCGGTAGCTCCCCCGCATTCCCCAGAGCGCCAGCTTCCAGCATTCCAGGTGAGGCTTCCCCTCGGTGGATAACAGAAGGAGTAGCATGAGCTCTGCCCTCTGATGCTCCTTGACCCAAGGCTGTTTCATAGTCGTGATCTTGGTCTCCCTCTGAAGCTCCCGTTCTCCGACGGATCATCCGGTCCATCGCTTCGCACGGGGGGCCCCTTAACCTAAAACCCCGGACTATCCAACAGGCCTAGTCCTAGAGCCTACGGCTGATAACCTACGTGTGATCTTAGACCCAAATAATGATGTAAACCAGACCTTAGGAGTTAAACGACCCCCAGAACGACCCTCCACGGGCCTTGGTCCTTTTTTCTTCAGCCAAAACAGCCTCGCGGTCGGGCTCTTCGAGTGGTTCCTGTGCGGGAGCAGGCTCGGAACACACGCACCCTGCTATAGAACCCTACCTATAGATCCCTTATAGACCCCTGTAAGGAACCCCTTTAAAGGAGCCCTATTCTACTCCTTAAGGCCCCCCCACATATTACCCTCTAGGCCCTGTTCAGCGCCCCCCGAGCCGCCTCGGCGAGGTTTGGATCGGAAGTACGACTGGCCAGAACACGTGCCTTGGGCGAGGGCGAACTCTTCAGGTTGAGCAGGGTTTAGGGCTTAGAGTTTCGGGGTTATAGGGTTTAAGCAGTGTTTATAGGGTTTAGGGTTTATGGGGTTTAGGGTTTAGGGTGGTTTCGGTTTTAGGGTTTGGGTGGACTTCAGAGAGACGTCGTTCAAAAAAGGGCTCGGAGGGGAGACGCAGACTTCGAAGGTTTCTGGGTTGAGGGCTTAGGGCCGGTAAGTGGTCCAAGACCGCAGATCAGTGGCAAAAGAGAGGGCGTAGGTTGGGTATAGAGTCGAGGCTCAGGGGTTGGGTCTCTCCATACCCATACAGCCTTGCCAGGTTCCAGAGCCCTGATCCTGTGGACCCAACCCTCCATCAGGCCATATCTCTAATCATTAATCCCGACTCCTTGTCACCTGAATGCGCCCTCATCCCCAAACCCTCAAAGGGGGCGGTCAACCAAAAGGCGACATCCGAGTCGGGGGCATCAAACCCTAAACCCCTAACCCCTAAACAAGGTCAAGGACAATCCCATCTTCCGGTTTGGCCACGCCAACCAAACTGTGGCTCCGGGATCGGGTGCGAAGTCTGCACTGAGCATGGTGAGGGCCCCAGATGCTTCAGGTTCCACGAAGGGTATTGTCATTGTTGTTTTAAAGGGCTATTCTACAGCACGGGTTAATTGCTGTGAGGAATCTCCGAGGTTTTCAGAATTTAGCACGTTTAATTAAAGCTTCAGGGCTCGAGGAACTTGAAATTGGAAAGTCCCACTTCCCCGGGTTTGGTCGTACATGGATTCTTATCTGAGTCAGGAACATTTGGTTTCAGCCGAATGGGCTTGCGCTTTGATGCGGTTTTCGTTCAGCAAAAGGGCTGGGTTGATGATGATGATTCCATTGTTGCAGCTGGGCTTGACTTTGGGGTTGCAGGACATGAGGACACAGCGTCTGAAGCTTGGGTTAAGCATTTGCGCCTTGAGCTCAGACTTTTCGGTGTTGGGCTTTGGAGTTGAAGGCTTTTGGGGTTTGGGGCAAAGGGGTGTTGCGAAAAGGTTTTTGGCTAGGGATTCGGGTTTAGCTTACTACTTCCTTTCTTTGGGTGTCAAGGCAGCCCCACACCCGTCAAGCCCATCAAGCCTGAAGCTCATGAAACCCTAAACTTAGGCCCTAAACCCTAAACGCTACATTCCTAAACTGTAAACCCCAGGCCCTCACCCTAATCACACAGTCTTTCGTGGTTGAGGGCTTGTCGGGTTAGTGAAATGCCCTCGTTGTAAAGCTGAGACTGCTTTGAGGCTCAGCGGGCTCAGGGATCTCGTGCCAATTAGGGCTTCTGATAACCAGACGATTTATTAAGCCGATAGTCCCATGAGTCTCCGAGTATATCGTGAGCAGTGGAAACTGTGCAAACAGCCTGTGTAGAAATACATCCAGCAGCATCAGTAGCAACCACGATTGCGGTGGTTTCTCAATCCTGATGGCTGTATGCACCGAAAGACGTCAATAGTATTTCGGGGAAGAATCCCCCAAATTAGTGGGCTAGGCTGGACAGCGAGTGGAAAGAGTTACATTAAACAGAACCCGGACTAACTACTCCCCGCCCCAAGCCCTGACAGTGGAGCTTTCGCATGGAGCAAGGACTGTGGAGTGGAACCACTCTCAGTTCCCACAACTCTCATCGTCAAGGCCCCTCCGCTGAAATTGAAAACCGTAGACCTACCTGAATAAGGACTTAAGTTTGTTGGTTCCTTTAAGGGTTAGAGCTCTCAAAGTTCTTATTTTCTAGCCCCCTGCACTGCCCTGAAGCCTAGATCTGGCGATTTTCGGGGCTTCAGGGATTGGGGCTTTACGGGGACGGGGTTTGGAGTTTAGAGGCTTTCGACAATAGACCCTACAATGATGACTCGAAGTCGGCCAGGACACGCTCGCGAATTTCCAAGAGATCACCTCCGATCATATAGGAACGAGCCGGAACCTGATGCAATTGTGTCTCGGCTTAGGTTATATAGATTTAGGATTTTTAGGATGCTAGTATTTGGATTGGGGGTTTAGGATTTTGGGCATTGAGGTTTCAAGGCTTTGGATTGATCCAAGGGTAGGACGGCTTTCCTTTCGCTCGAAGTGCCCTGAAGATTAGTCGTAGAGTAGGCAACCTTTAACCTTTTTTGGGTAGTATAGCACCCTTTCAGTCTCTATATATGACCAAAAGGTTAACCTTTGGTTCCCCATGATACCCAACAAGTAGGGAAGATTATCCCTCATCCGAAGCAGCTGGTCCTGAACAGCCAAAAGGCGCCTCCAAACAGCTAAGACGTTGGAGATGATGTAGGGGGCCTACACAATTACCTGTATTATTGTGGGGGTTCCTGAATAAAGTTATAGTATAGTATATGCCCCAAGGCCCTAATTATTCTAATTATTACGGCCCCTGTATTATGTCAATTATTATGTGCCAAAAATTCCAATTCGGCTTTTCAACACTGGATCTTAGACAATCCAATTCCAGGACTGCGTGCGCTTTCCATGAGTCGCTCGATTCTGCTCGAGACACGCAGCCCATACCGCGAAGCCCCTCCAACGTCGGTTAAACAAGAGAGAATTGAAGATAGCGGCAACCGCAAAAGCAGCAACGACCAAAAGAGTTTAGCAATAAGGGCATCAGCATGGAAAATCCCAAGCTCAGTCGACAACTTCAATCAGTGAACAAAACTGTAGAAACACTGCCATGGTCTGGAACTCTCACCCTCAAAGCACCTGCAAGCAGCACAGCGACTGAGCTGACGTGCCGAGGCAGTCGCACCAGAACCTGGGACGCCATCACTCCTTCGGAAAGCCGACATCCACAGACCCAGTGCCTTGCTCCGCTCAGGCTAGCTAGGTTGGACTGTACAGGTCACAGTATACAAGCTCCATGGAACTTCGACTTAACTTATGTGTATATATATATATACATATATATATATATATTATACATATATATATATATGTATATGTACATGTGTATATATAGATACATATGTGTGTGTATACAGTTTGTATGTAGATAGATGTTTAGATATAGAATGTGGCGCACAACCTCGCGAGTCGTTTTCACCCTAAACGCGCAGTTGCATATGCATAGGGTTACTCCTCATTGGCAGTGACGGGTTTATGTATGTTATATGGATCCAAGACAGGCTGAAGGAACAGTGAGGCCGGTGCAGCCTGACGGCCCTCTGCCAGCTGGGTTCATAGCTGCAGTACCGACAGCCAGCCTCAGAATGCAAACGTAACGAACCTCCTTGCTTGTAGCGATGGCGACGGTAATCCGAGTAGTAGGAGGTAGTCGTCCTCGGGCTCAGTTTAACCAGCCAATAGTACAGAACCCAAGACATGTATGCTGTCTGGGCGGCAGGCAATCAGGCCCTAGGCTTCGGGGTGAAAGTCGGGGCGTACAGGTCAAAAGACTTGCTCGTGTCTCGGAGGGTATCGCTAGGGTTTGCTTAAGTTGAGGTTTCCCTTCGAGCCGTTGTCGAAACGGTGTGTAACATGGTTGAACTTTTTGTTGCATTTGATGCGCTTGTGGGGAAGTTTGAGAAGTTCCCTGTCACCGACGCAAGACCGAGCGAATTTAGAAGAAAAGCTCAAGCGTACACCTCGCCGGGCCTTGCACCATGAGGTCAGCGCCGGCTCTTTGATCCACGGCAACTACTCCCATGCAGAACAGCCACTGACACCGATATTAACGAGGGTTCGGTCGTGTCTCATGTTGTTGAGAAGAGAGCAAAGGCTCCCGGGCGCTGTTGATTGGATGTCTTGTTTCAGCTCCCCTTTTGGCCCAATCGCAGCTTCACATCCCCAAAGGCTTAGGGTTCAGAGGTTGCAGTTTCATCGACTCGAGCAGTGAGCAGTGCCAAGGATGCCCGATGCAGACCTTGGGAAGTGCCTGCTTAAAGGCTTGGGCATGATGACAGGGCTTCTCGCACTCACGGCAGTGGTTTGTGGCAGAGGGAAGTTTAGGGTTTAGGGTTTGGGAGGTCGAGGCTGCTGTACGTGTGGAAGATGACGGCGACTATGAGGAGGTGAATCCGATGAGCGGAGCGATCATGCAGATAATAATCGAGAAGATTGCTTTCGCTGATGCGGGGATGGTAGATGATAGCGAGGCCCTTCGAATTGTGATGATGGTCATGAATGATGACAGATGACAATCAATCACAGTGACGGCTGCGAAAGTAACAACGTCCGCGGAGGTGATCCCTTGGCCCGAGCGAGAGAGGTTTGAACTGGGGACTTCGATCTCGTTTCATAGCAGCCGATGCACGGATAAGAGGAAGACTTCCACTGACTTACACTTACAGTCGCTTCCGGGCCTTGACACGGGACTGCGAGACTGAGCAACATCTCGGACTGGCAGTTTGGAACTATTGGGTGAACCACGACGACAACCATCACCAACAGGACCACTAGACATACGTTAGATCCTAAAAACCCTGCACTATGAATCCTAAGCCATACTAGCTCTGGCTCCCCCATTCCCCTCGCCCCTCTTCCAGTATGTTCATGAAATCCTCATTCTACGTTTTCGTGCAGAGGTTTCTGAAGAAGGCATTAAGATCATAAGTTTCAAAGGGTCTCTAAGCAGAGCTTTGGTTCCCCAAGAGCTTCAGAAAACTGCACGCAGGTCGCAGAAACTTTGAGACAGATCCACGGGGCGTGCCCTCCGTGCGATTTGACAAAGTTGCCCCACCTCTCGAGAACCTTGGTCCCGATGACGATAAGGGCTCCGTTAAGTGATCTCATAAGAGCTCTTAGGCCCTGGGCCAAACGTTCGAAGCAGCCGTTCCACCGGCTGATACTACCTGAACGGTGGGTTGCTGCAATCGTTTTCAGCCTTTAAGGTGCCTAAGCTTCAATAGCCTTCCCCTCACAGGGTTTAGGGGAAGTTTAGGGTTTAGGGGTTTAAAGTGCATGAATCTGAAAAAGAACAGAACTTGATGGCTGCAGAAGCTTCCTTGTCAGCGGGTGGCGAATTAGGCTTGCCAGGGTCCATGATGCAGGGTGAACGTCGTTTTAGGGTGTTGCTGCTTAAGATTACTTGGGTTCGTCCTTCAAGGGTTCAGAGGGCGGAGGGTGTTTAGGCTTAAAAAGCTCAGGGTTGCAGGGTTTAGGTTCACGGTTTACAGAGTCGACATCTAAAACGACAAGTTGTCTCGCTGGGGACTTGCAGGGGCAGCTTGACGTCCTCGCGCTCAGGAAAAGATCTGTGGCCAATGACACCAACTACGGCGACGACCTCCATGCAGGATCTTTAATCACGCCGACCCGCTTCCAATTCCTCGGCATTTCTGCGGAGGAGACGCTGCGCATGCTTCCTTAAAGGAACACCTTCGGGCACAAGGCAGTACAGGTTAGCTTTCTTGTTTATTCAATCGACCCGGTGAGCGTACGCCTCGCCTGCATTGTCTGAGTCGTGAGCGCCGAAACTCCTAAACCCTAAACCCTTCGCCCGTTACGAGGGGCTTTTGAAAAAAAACAAACCCAAAAGCACCAAACCCTAAACTTACAGAAACCCCAACCCTAGACCAACAAACCCAAACGCCACAGGATTTCGTGCAGAAACGGCCGGTCGCGGAGGTGGCGAGTCTTCTCCGGGGAGCTGGCACCCCGAGAGCAAAAGTGCCCCCTCTTTTTTTAATATAGGGGCCTTATAGTAATTACCGATAATACCAGGTTCCTTATACATTATACTTATAGTATAATGGGCCCCGAAACCGGTTTCGGCGCCCGGACAAGCCAGCCGGGGTTTTTGGTGCGTAGTCGGATGCGGTGAGGGTGTCAGGGCTTAAGTAGTTTATGGTCTAGGCCGCCGGCGGGTTTGTTTGTGTTGTTCTTTTGGGGTGGAGGGGGGATTGAGTTTTGCGTGTTTTCGTGCATGACTTTTAAGGCAGGCTTATCAATTGCATTTGTTCTTCTTTTTTTTGGGTTTTTTGGCTCTGAGGGTAGGCTGCTAGACAGTTGTTGAGGGACCCAGCAGCCCATTGTTTAGCCCGCTGGAGACCCATAAAGGATACTCCCGAATGTAAAGGCAGAACGATTCTCGGTTTTAAAGGTATGGGTGAGACAGTCGGCCCGAAATCGCTGCTGTTTTTGCGCAAGTGTCACGGGGTCCATGGACAGTGGCAAGTGAACAGGCATCTTTACTCGTCGTGTGTTCGGGTGTATCGTGGTAATGTGTTGCACCGCGACGTGCTAAGGCTGCAGGTCCTTGTTTTGTTTGCGCTGGTTCCTTCGAACTTGCAGGTTTGTGCAAGGCCTTCATATTTTGTTGCTTGGGTCACAGGATTGAGGGTCTGCTATTTGTCATGGAATTCTTGATTTTGTCTTTGCGGTGTCTCATGGTCCGGCCCACATGTGAAGCAAGCTACATCAACTCTTGCAGTGATGTACTTCCGAATTATTTTGATGTCGAGCATTGCAGCCTTATCCCAAAACCCAAAAGAGAATCAGGCTTCTGCGAGGGGGACGAGAAGCTTGATGCCATCGTGCAGCGGGCAGGAAGCGAGGATGGCTTCTCGGCTGCATTCACAGGGCCGAGACTTTGGAAGCTGCTACTGTGGTTGCTCTCAATGCTTTCAGTAGCGAAATTCTACATTGATCCATGCGTTGTTGTCATCGTTCGTTTTCAGAAATCCCCTGCGCAGCCACTAGGGCCCATTAATTCGTGTCGCCTGCATTCGTCTGAGAGAGTAGCAAAACTAACCTAAAACCACAATGTGTGGATGATGATGTCAACGATGATTCGTAGTGGTGGTGATTTTGATGCAGGTATCGGCTTCGACCAAAGTTCAAGTCCTTCTCAAGTTCACTAGGTCTCCAACCCATCATCCACAAGAAGACACCTGGTCAAAGTACCGTCAACCTGTATAGAACCCTTGTGGATCCCTTTTAACGGAGCCTTTCTAGAACCCTTACGGATCCCTTTAAAAGGAACTTGGCGGCATTCCTTTGAGTCGATGCTTTCACCAAAAAGACTGATCCCAGAGAGGGTCCAAGTACCATTATAGTAGGTACTTAATACCTTAAAGTATAGACCATATGGTTACTTGGACCGAATTGCTTTAAATTTAAAACAATATAGTAGGTACTTAATACCTTAAAGTATAGACTGTATGGTTACTTGGACCCTTTGGGTGATGATAACGGTGGTGTTCGCAGTGCTCATCTTTTTCTTCACAGGCGCTTTAAAGCTCAGAGGCACCAAGAGCAACCATGTAAGAACATCGTAGCTGTAGAGAAACTTGAGCTTCGTTTGTTTGTAAGTACCGGCACGGAAGGATTCTGGCAGAGACTTGTGCATCTACGTGGCTTGCTTGGAAAGGAATTTGAAAAGGAGACCTGTGATGCTCGATAAAAGTCAGGTAAAGCTCCAGAGCATTGCAGAAACCTGGAAGCAACATGTACGCGTGGACCCCCAACTTAAATTCCCAATGTGAACATGTGTAGGGTTCAGCATTGCGGAACCAGGTAACGGAAAAGCCTCATTGGAGGATGCGCTGGGGGCCATTGAAGAGTGGCTGTCGACTGAGACTAATTGAGAGGATCTCTCTCGAGAGAGGGGGGCGTAAATAGGATCCCAAGAAAAAATCGTTCTAGATTGTTAAACTCGAAGTATGTAAATCCCTCAACCTTACAAACCCGAAAAGCTAAAATCCTTAGAAACCCTTTATATCCGAAGCCCCAAAGAGGTGGTTTACTCAAGGATCCTGGGAAGCTTCTTGCATCCGATCTGGTGGCCCTCACATGGGAGTTTCAGAACGCCGGGGCACCTTTCCCTAGGGGGCTCTTCTAATCAGGATGGTAATTACTGTCTAGGGACCCGTATTAATTAGCGTTCCACAACGCTATGAAACCTACAGCCAGAAGCCATTTTTTGGGAGGGTACCCTCGTTTCTGGAAACTTTCACAGCACACCCTCCGCAACGAAGGGCGCATGGGGGAGCTCATCTTGACACTCGTGTTTAGGGCCGTAAGAAATTAGGGTTGAGGATTGAGGACTTGTGGGCTTCAAGGGTATGTTGGGTTTTGCAGGGCACGGCCGTAGGGCTGTTAATAGAGGAATCCTATACGGCACAATCCTATACGGCACTTTCCATCATACACACATCAGGGACCCAGGGTTTGAGGTCTGCCACCATCTTTATCTTCACATTGTTCAGCACAGTCTGTAGCTGTTTATGTACAGTCTTTTTTGACCTCGACTTGTTCAGGACGCATCAACACTAACATATCGAATAGCATTTCCAACGTCCTACTTGGCACGGTTCTGCTTTAGTTTTGTTGTTGTTGTTGCTGCTGCCAGTTGCTGTTGTCGGTTGCTGGTTGCTGTTGCTGAAGCCGGGTCTGCTGTTGTTGTTGTTGTTGGTGGTGGTGGTGGTGGTGCTCTCCGTCGTATTGCTCTTTAACTGGATATTGTTTGTTGGTTGTTTGTTGTTGGTTGTTGGTTTGGGTAGTGGGTTGTTGCCTGGTGGTTGTTGGTTGGTGGTTGCTGGTTGGTGATTTGTGGTCGGGTGGTTTATTGTTGTGGTTGTGTTTGCCGTTGTGGTTGCGGTTTTTGCTGTTGCTGTTGCTGTTCTTGTTGTTGTCACTGTCCCGTCGATGCTGCGCGGAACTGTGAGGACAAAGCAGTTTCAGACGCTTTAGACTAAACTTTAGACCTGTATAGACCTGTACGTAAGGCCTCTGGGCTCTCCCCATGGCTTCTTCGTGCCATCTCATCCTGGTGCGGGGCAGAATAACTGACCTTCATTCAGGCCTTCTTTAATGACGGCTGGACTGGAACTGGAAAACGGATCACAGTGGGAAGGGCCGGTACAGAGGTGCAAAGTGAGTTCATCGGAGTTACGGTTAGGGCCCTTAGCTGCTTAGCTGCTTTCCTGGATGATGAGGGGTACGCTCATGCCCTGGGCCCTAGGGAATACGAGACTATGGGGGCATATGGGGGCCTGGCTTTGTATCTGCTTTGTCTGCGCCTCGGGTGCAGGAAGGTCTTTCCATCCGTTCTGGATCCCGACTTGAGCATGGAAGTCCTCTCTGGACGATCTTAATGCACGTCAAACGTTCATTCCAGGACTCAGGTTGTTGCTGCAGGACCATGGCAACGGCAGGTGTCTGCCCCCACACCTGTCCTAGCAACGCAGCAATCCTAAACCCTGAACCCTTAAACCCTATAAGCCGTATGGATCCCTTAAATAGGAGCCCCTAAAACTTACTACCCAAACGGATCCCTTAACAGAAGCCGTAAAGGGACCCCTGAGAAGGCTGGCAATGGGAAAGCGTGTGAGCCTGGCGGGGCGTGGACAAAGCCCTTCGGCTTTAGGGTTCGGGGTGTAGGGGTTCAGGGGTTTAGGGGTTCAGGCTTTAGGGTTTAGGGGTTCAGGTTTTAGGGTTAAGGTTTAGGGCTTTAGGGCTAGACCAGCAGGAGTAATACCGCAAAAGGCGCAGGCTTGCTGTTTCAGCTTTATGTGCAGAATTAGGAGTATTCCTGAGGTATCCTTGACATTCGTCATTCATCGGTACTCCCGCAACCCCTGTCTTGTGATCCACGAACCTGTAACGATCCTTCAAGTTCCCATGCGCAGTACAAGAGGTCCAGAGTTTACGGTTTAAGTGTATAGGGTTCGGGGAGGTGTCTTCGATTGGCTCAAACTTAAACTGACATGCCGTTGCGGGTGCAACCTACAAACCCTGAACCCAGAATCCTAAAATCCTAAACAGTAAACCCCTTACAGTGGGAGGCGAAGAACCCATTATAGCAGCCCCTGTAGCAACCCTTCTAGCTACAGTTTCCCACCGCAAACCCATAGTCTCGGAGTCCGAAAGCGCTGAGTTGGCAGCAGCAGTCATGCCCAAGGCTCTACTCCCGAATCCGGGCCTTCGAATCCCAGAAGGTGGGAGTTCAACAGGCTGTTGGACCTTAAGGGCTCGCTTATACTTTAATTCCTTTTACAGCTTACCTGGAGCACCTCCTCGTTCAGGGCCCGAGGGCTTCGAGTTTGGGGCGGTGGAGTCTTGGGGGGTTTACGGATAGAGGGTTCCGGCGTTTTGGGCCTGAGCCCTGATAGGTCAGGAGAAAGTCGGAGTAGCAGGAGGGATTTTGGACGCAAGGTTTTGGAATCGATTACCACCAATAACATTAGTACGAAATGTTAGAATCATGTCCGTGACGTTTGTTTTTGTCGAACTTGGCAGCTGAAGCCTTGCCTGGCAGTGCCAGGCACCACAAGGGCCAATGATATGGTTATGAGTAACTATGAGATTTATCAAACCCTAGATCCCAGTGTCTTGTGCAAGGCATGGAGAGCACATTGAAGGTTTGGATGCCCTCAACACATCGTCCTCTCAAGGAAGCCGTTCAGATACAGCCTGAATCATCAGTGTGGCTATTCCTCATGCTATGATCACAGTAAATCTGCGATATACAATACCTAACTTAGAGACTGAGATCCCACCGCATTAGTGGTTGTCTTGTGGACTGAAGGTGTGGCCGGCTGCTAGGGTCAGCTCAACGTTGGCTGAATACAACTTCGGCTCCTTTGTGGCCCCTGTCATGTTTCGGAAAGGCTGATGTCGAGCTGTGGCACGTGTTAACTCGCGCAAGGGATGGTTGCCAGCCGTGGTGGTCGTCTTGGGATGGAGTGTTATTCATTGGTGTCAGAGCTCGTGGAGGTGCAACACGGCCTGGGCTGGCAACTTGCAAGAGTAGTAGTAGTAGTAGTAGTAGTAGTAGTAGTAGTAGTAGTAGTAGTAGTAGTAGTAGTAGTAGTAGTAGTAGTAGTAGTAGTAGTAGTAGTAGTAGTAGTAGTAGTAGTAGTAGTAGTAGTAGTAGTAGTAGTAGTAGTAGCAGTAGCAGTAGCAGTAGCAGTAGCAGTAGCAGTAGAAGCAGCAGCAGCAGTAGCAGTAGCAGTAGCAGTAGCAGTAGCAGTAGCAGTAGCAGTAGCAGTAGCAGTAGCAGTATCAGTAGCAGTAGCAGTAGCAGTAGTAGTAGTAGTAGTAGTAGTAGTAGTAGTAGTAGTAGTAGTAGTAGTAGTAGTAGTAGTAGTGGTAGTAGTAGTAGTAGTAGTAGTAGTAGTAGTAGTAGTAGTAGTAGTAGTAGTAGTAGTAGTAGTAGTAGTAGTAGTAGTAGTAGTAGTAGTAGTAGTAGTAGTAGTAGCAGTAGCAGTAGCAGTAGCAGTAGCAGTAGCAGTAGCAGTAGCAGTAGCAGTAGTAGTAGTAGTAGTAGTTGTTGTAGTGGCAGTCGTAGGACGCAAATGAGGATGATGATGGTGATGATGATTACCGCGACGACGTGGTATTTGCGATGCTGTGATGGCAGCCATCTTGTCCTGCGAACTTGTGCGTGCACCTCACTTCACACGAGTCCTGACACTGATCTTGGCGGATGCATTTTCGAGCAATCAGTCACGAAAGAGGCTCGCATCGAAGTCCCAACGTCAGCTCTGCTTTCTGCTGTATGCACAGCAGTGCAAAGCAACCTTGGGCACATCAAGATTGGTCATGGGCATGAAAGCCCTTTGCGGCTTTTCATCCTCCGATCTTTCAGCAATCATGTAGAAGCACAAAATTGCCAGGTCGCTCATGCCTCCACATTGCCACACACACACACAGACTTGCCTGTCAGTTTCTTTTGCATGCATCGCCGGGGGGGGATACTAGTGCCGATTACGCTGCCAGAAGAAGTCGGGCAAGGACTACGATATGCACTTGATGAGGTGGCTTGCTGTGCAATGCTGTTCGGTGCATCGGTTGGAAACACAGAACTGGGTCTCTTAATGATTAATGGGTGTCGGAGTGTATCATGTTGGTGGGCTTCCCGGCATCACCATAGGGTCCCGGCTGGGGAGCGGAGAGGGAAACTGCGTATGTACAATCTCTGGACCTACCTTCAATTTGCTGCTGCTGTTGGTCGTTTGCGTGATTCTGGGGCCAGAGCTTAGAAGTCAAAATACTTCTCGCTGAGGTAGAATTGAACCTTACCCTGGGTTGCTCAGATTTGGCATTCACCGGTGGAGGGTTTATCGGTCGACATGCTCTAGAAGACAGATTCAGACAAAGTGACAAACCGTAGGAACCTGTGAAACCTTTGGATACTTTTCCAAACAAGTCCCTAAACCCTTAACCCTATCAAGTTGTACGGCGGAAGCACCGCCCGGCTTTTCTGAAGGCATGTTTAAATGGCCAGAGTCTGAACTGGAAGCCCGTAGCTCAGACCTATAAGGGAGTTTCCGAAAATAGTGGACCCTAATGTGGTACCCTAGATAGTCGGATCCTTACTGTAAGGACCCCAAAGTGAGGTGTCCCTAATTTTCGGAAAGTCCCAATAACTCTGAGCCGTAGAAGGTTGATTTTGCCCCTGTCACACCGGCAGTTCCGGATTCGGGAAGCACCTCCAACCCGGGCCTGTCCTAAGCAAAACTGTAAATATCATAGACCCTAAGGACCCTAAACCTTTACTGTTAATCGGATGGCGAAAAATTGTTAGTCGGCCGTTGTTCCCTGGTCCCCGTCATGCGACATTGTTAGCTAGACGAGGAAGCAA